CAGTCGGGCAACGGCACTTCATTACACCAGACAAAACTGGCCTGTTCGTCAATTCCTAGAGCCAGGTCAAAAAAATGTACTGCATATGCCATTAGTAGATTCGAAAAAAAATTTCTTACCACCACTGCATATCAAGTTGGGCCTAATGAAAAACTTTGTCAAGGCATTAGATAGAGATGGGTCAGCTTTTCAATACCTACGTCAGAAATTTCCAAGACTAAGTGAGGCAAAGGTTAAAGAAGGTATTTTGTTGGGCCACAGATTCGAAATATTTTGAAAGATACACAGTTTGAAAACACCTTAACAGGTATTGAAAAAACTGCTTGGAATGATTTCCGTCTGGTGGTCACTAATTTCTTGGGAAATAGAAACGCTGACAACTATAAAACCCTTGGCAAAAATATGCTGTCATCGTATCAAAAGATGGGCTGTAATACGTATGTCGTATGTCTCTTAAGATACATTTCCTACACTCACACCTGGACGTTTTTCCTGAAAATTGCGGAGCCGTAAGTGATGAGCACGGCGAACGTTTTCATCAGGATATTTCAACAATGGAAAAAAAGTACCAGGGAAAGTGGAATCCTTCCATGCTTGCAGACTACTGTTGGACTCTTGGTAGAGATGCTCCAGAAACGATCCATAAAAGAACAGCAAAAAGACAGCGCATATAGTGATTCTTATAAGTATATGAATCTTGTTACCTTTTTTAATTTATCCTTAAAAATAAAAAGTTTTTTTTCTAAACCGCAACTATTTTTTTTATTCATTGTCATTTTTGGATTCAGCGCCCCAAAATTAACAAAGAAGTGCATTTTTCCCACAAGATACAATTAAAAAACTAAAAATTTGTTGTCCAGTGAATTTTAATTTAGGAGCAATATTCCGTTCTCTCAGCGACTTATTGCTTATAATTCATAATCACACTGCACTCTTTTCAGTAAAAGGTATAGCAAAATGAAATGCCCGTTATAGGGACATGCCCTATGGCTCTCAAGAAGAATGATAAGTGCTAGTGTCACCGTTCGGCTGCAAATCTGTACACCGTAGTATACGTTTGGGACAGCAGCTGGCTGGAGAAACATAACACTCCAAGTTATTAAAGTAAACCGGGTTTGATATCGAGAATATCAAATAACAAAGTTTCGCTGCGGTAACTTCCTAACAAGTTCCACCTTGCGCGAATGTAATACATGTGACAGATTCCCAGTAGTTGAATAACTTACCATAACATGATACGTACCATAGAGATACTGAAATCGAATATACTTGGCTCCAAGGCATGCACGGATTTTAGGTATTAAAAATTAGCATTTCGACGGAAAGAAATATTGCTTTCAACTATTAAAGTATATTTTTTCATCACATTGTTTTTCCTCCACCAATTTACTTATTTCCAAAGTGTTAACACAGGCATGGAACATATACTAAGTGACATGTAAATCCGAACAGCCAGTTTAAATGGTTTTATTTTAATAAACGTTGGTGAATGTATTTATCTTACTGTAAATAACAAATGAAAAAATTTTCAGCCTTATCAGTTGGACATTCCGGTTTTTATACTGCTTTTTTTTAATTCACTAACGCTCTAAAAATGAATATTTCAGCCGCAGTAAAGAATCAACGTTGGCGGATTTTGGTTCTTGACATCCTTTACGATCGGTTACGATGCCTAGAGTACGGAGACCTGTACGATTTCGTCAACTTAGTGAGTTTGATAGGGGCCGTATAGTGGGCCTTCTTTCTTTTCGGGCAATTGCAGTTAGAGTGCAAAGAAGTGTAGACACTGTGGTTAGGTGTTGTCAGGCATGGCTTCGAGAAGGCCGTACGCAAAGAGCAAGGAGCACTGGACGCCGCCGTAGAACAACAGACCGTGAAGATCGCCGCCTAAGATTATTGGCCTTAAGGGACCGTTTCTCCACTACCAGGTCCATTGCAAATGAATGGTTTGCAGAACACGGAAGACCTATTGGCATGCGAAGTGTTTACCGACGAATGAGAAGTTTTGGCTTGTTTTCATACCGGCCACACTGGGTCCTCCCTTTAACTCGAGAACACCGACGTAATCGCCTTGAGTGGTGCAGACAACGGTCACTCTGGGATCAGGAATGGAACAGTATTGTCTTTAGTGACGAGTCTCGATTTTGTTTAGGCATGCACGATGGTCGTGCCAAGGCTAGAAGGCGATGTGGTGAAAGGAGGAATCCACAGTTTTTTGTTGAAAGACATGTTCATCACACTGTTGGAGTTATGGTTTGGGGTGCTATAGCTTATGGTTCCAGGTCACCTTTAATCTTTATCAGAGGTAATATGAACGCGCAGCGTTATATCCACGAAGTTCTAGAACCCCATCATTTACCCTATCTTGACACCCTGGCAGATCCAACTTTCCAACAAGATAATGCCCGACCACATGTTGCAAGAGTCACAATAGACTTCTTTCAACATAATGATGTCACATTGTTACCATGGCCACCAAGATCTCCTGACTTATCCCCAATTGAGCACGTGTGGGATATGATGGTTAGGAGATTGCTCAATTTGCAACGTCCTCCTCAGACTCTAGAAGCACTTCGAGAGGAGTTGGTGGTTGCCTGGAATGAGATACCACAGGAGGACATTGACCACCTGATCAGAAGCATGCCTAGGCGCGGTGGAGAATGTGTAGCACATCAGGGTGCATCCACACATTATTAAAGGTCAAAGGGCTTTAAAGCTGTGCAATCATTTTGAAATTTTTATCATTTACTTATTATGCTTCATTAGGTACTTATACAAAATTTTATTAGAATAAAACCATTTAAACTGGGTGTTCGGATTTATATGTCACTTAGTATACAAAGGTTAGGTTTTTTTCTCCTAAACAAATTCAAACATTTCGTATTTTTGGGAGTAATTGAACAAATGGGCTACAATATTCGAAAAACATATATTACTATACACATTTTAAAACAAAGCGGATGTGTCCATCATCGTTTGTTGCGAATTACTCACAAATACGAAATGGTTGAATTTGTTTAGAAGAAAAAACGTAACCCATCCTTTTTTTGTATAAAAATAACATTTATTTTCCGGAATGGTTTGCGATTCATATCGGCAAGGTAAACTAGTGTATTTTGCTATAAAATGCTCTTTACACTAATCCTGTATATTGCTTCATAAACTAGTAGTGATGGCCGAAAAACAGGTGTTTTGCAATAAGCGATTAGAAATTCTCAAAAACTACTTGACCAATCTACTCCTATTTTCTTGTGGTTATTAAGAAGTACGAATTTGAAGAATTTCAAATATCTGCGAGAAACCGCAGTCGCATTACCAGCAAGTGCCAAAACCTGGGGTTTGCCTCGATTCCCGGCCATAACTTTTTTGCTATTAATCGGATTTTTTACGGGTGGTCTTTTGTAGGTCTCAAAAATACCTAAAAATCTCGTATGAAGTGTTTTTTCGTTCCTGTCAATACTTTCGATTGAATCCCAAAAAACACGTTTTCCCATTCTTTGTTGTCGAATGAAAAGTTTTCCCGTAAAAATTGGTTTACCTATTTTATGCGTCCATGTTTTGAATATCCCCTTGAACAACAATTTGCACCAATAAAACCAAACTTTAAAATCATTTCGCAAACCAGGGGTATTATCGTCTAATATGATTAGACTAGATTGTCATTCTTTTCTAGCTTATTTTATATGTATTAGTTGAAAGATTGTTTAGAAATTTCTATTTTTGATGATGCTTGTATTTCATTCTTGTATCTGTTTTTTTTTTTTAATAATATTAGATACGTTAGTTTGGTGCGATTTTTTTTTGTCAAATGGAAGACTTAAGGTTGATTCTCACTATATATTCTGTTTCCATTCCGTAACCGTTCCGTAAATTATTGAAATTAAATATTCGCCTTCGCTTAAAGCAGGCTATTGCGTGTGTATGCACATTATCCGTAATCCGTAAGGTATACTGTGTATACAATCACATTGTACGGAACGTTTACGAAACTGATATGGAATGGAAACGAAATGTATAGTGAGAATCAACCTTTATTCTTCTAAGGGTCGTGTCATCAGTCGTTCCTTTTTTAGACGCCTTTATAGCCTCCTTGATTTTCATAGTTTTCTACTGTTCCATGTCAGCGCTCTATTTTGAGGTTATGTTACAAATATCTATCAGCATCAAATTCTTCATGCCTTTGATGTTTATCTTCTCTGTTTTATGAGCCTGAAATTTCTTAGGAAAGAAAACATAACCTCACAATAAGAGAGCGTTGACGTTTACATGGAACAGTAGAAATCTACAAATACTCCAGCCTTTCTGAAGTAGAGAAACGACTATGAAAATCAAGGAGGCCATAAAAGCTCCCTACAATTTTAGGAACGACTGACGATACGGCCCTAAGAATAAAATCTGAGCTTCACTATTCACGGGGAACCATTTTTTTTAATGAATAAAAATAATTTTAGTATTACTTAAAGAATAGTATTAGAGCATTTATGGTACAGGCAAGTTTAGGAATGCGCATATGAAAATCAAGCGTTTAGTGAACAAGATGAGGGAAAATTTTGAAGGTATTTTTTTCTTGTTTGCGTTTATGCCGGTTTGGTTTACATCATTACTTGATAGGTAACAATAGAAACAATCAAGAAATGAAGATAATTCCATTTTTTGTTCATTTGTATTGTAGTGCTGTTTTTTTTTTCATTGTATTATAACCTACCATCAATAAATTCGCAATCTTAAATGATTAGTAAAAACTAAATTAAATTCACAACACAGAACCTTATTGCCAAAATTAGCGTTATGTTTATGAATGCCAAGAACTAGGCAAATCGTTCCAGTCGGAACTAGTTCTTCTTAGAATCAAGTCGCTTTATCTTATCATTTCTTATACGAAATTTTCGAAGAACCTTTCTTCTTGCGTCACAACTGTTACACCTGCGGTTCTTACAAGCGTCGTTGAGATTTGTTCACCGAAATCTAAAAACTCTAATCTTTGATCGCTGGTTATTTGTTGAATAATCAATATTATAACATACATTTTTGTTGCAGGATTACTACCCAGATTTGATAGCGAATGACTCTATAGCCTTCCTGCGGCACTCTAAAAAGCAGTACCAACACAAGCCGGTTATGCTGACCATGTCATTCCCAGCACCTCATGGTCCTGAAGATTCAGCACCGCAGTACTCCCATTTATTCTTCAACGTCACTACTCATCAGTAAGTACAATTTATTCTCCGTCAGTAGTGAACGATTATTAAAATGTTCATTTTATGGATTTTTCAATCCTTTTTGGATGCACTCTTTGGGAGTACACGCTTTTTTAAAATTGATCATTTATTTAGAAAGTTTTGAAACCATTTCTATGTATAGTAACTTTTTTGTAAATTACATGTATCGCCTATTTGCGGTTTCAAGTGTAGAGCGAAAAACCTTTTTTCTACCGAGTGTTGCAAATTCCTCATTGGGATATCAAAATCGGTAAGAGATACGAAGTTGTTTAAATGTGGGCAAAAATGCGCATTTAGGTAGCTAAGCAAATAACAGAAAGTTTAATGATATAGATAAAAAAACAAATTTTCTCGAAATCTTTTTTTATTTTTTAAACGACTTTATTCAAAGTGGTATTCTGAAATAAAATACTTATTAACATTGCTACTTCTTCTCCTCTACAAGGTGGCATAGTAAGAATTTCAATGTGATGTTTCGTCTCTTGCCCTGAATCATGAACTTAATTTTTTCAAAAGGAGCAACATTCCAAGAAAAATGGGCCGATGTTCAGTAGATGATAATGGCAAACTACCTACTGGTTTAAAGACCCGTAAAAAAAATCGCAGAGCTAGGGCCGGAAATCCTTATACACCCCCTGTACTCTCCAGATCTAGCACCCTCCAACTATCACCTATTTATGTCGTTACAGGATTTTCTGTAGGGTAAGCGAAGACTATATCCAACAAGCCCTGGATCAATTTTTTTCACCTTCAGATAAAACGTCTTATAAAAATTGAGATATACAGATCACCACCACGTCATAAACGTAGTTACATTACTCGACACGTTATGAAATAAAATATTTTGTAATATCCTAAAAACGGTCTGTACTTTCACTATAATCTCACGCGAAAAAGCACCGATTATCTCTGTCGAACTGTGCGCCGGTAAAAGGGTTTGAGCAGAGATATGTCGTGTCCGGATTGTATGTTGCATCCCTTCATAAAGAATTCATGGAGGTTGGTAATGTCCTCGGCCTGAGGCTACCTGATACAGATATAAATTATGCAACAACCAACCGGGCCAAAACTACACACACGATTTCTCGGAAGGAAATACGATGGACCACCGTTTCGCGACATCGCGAGTCTTTTGTTTATACAGAGCATTTTCACGAACTTCATGCTGACTCCACTTTTAATTGTGCAGAGAAGAAGGATCCCACTGAAGGATGTAGGAAGGAAGGAAATCTCTGTGGCATCATTGGACAATCGATGATCTGACTCTTTTTTCACTGGTATACCAGTAGACCAGGAAGTTTTTTCGCATCTGATTTTTTTTTTGCTTAATCTTATCCTGTTTAAGGAATTTGCGTGGTATTTGCAGATATTATTAATAAATGATCTTGAAAACTTTACCACCCTGTATCTGAAAAGTTCAGACGTTTAGAATAGAATGAGAAACAGAATCTTCTTTAGTTCGGAAGACCGTCAGTTAATGGTATTGAACATGTCAGAAAATATAATACTACAGTAAAAGTTGTAACACAATACAGGGTGGCCCATAAGTCCTTTGAGCTGGAAAAAAAGGAATAAAACCAAACTAGTTACATTATGAAGAATTATTATATTTTATCATCTTTATTGAATGGGAATTATGTTTTAAAAATCACATCGTCTAAATGCAATCCATTACGATCACGGCACTCATATAAACGACGTCTAAAATTGTCGATGACTGCGCGGCAAGTCAACACTGTAATGCTTGCCATTTCTCTTCGGATATTTTCTTTCAGGACATCAACTGATCGCGGAGTGGTGTCGTACACTTTACTCTTGAGGTAGCCCCATAAAAAGAAGTCCATTGGGGTCAAATCTGGACTACGTGGTGGCCAGGAAATGTCTCCTCTTCGAGAAATTACTTTGCTGGGAAAAAGTTGACAGACGACGGGCATAGAAGTGTTGGAGGTGTGGGCAGTTGCTCCGTCCTGTTGAAACCAGGTCTGCGTATTATAGCCTGGAAAATTCTGCAACGCTGGTGTCAAAAACTCTTCTATCATTGCTACATACCGCTCCGAAGTAACAGTTAATGCGCGACCTATGTCGTCCTCAAAAAAATAAGGGCCTACGATGCCATGCGCTGACATAGCAGCCCAAACTGTAACTTTAGGGCTGTGTAAGGGCTTCTGATGCTTACGCCTTGGATTTTCGGGGCTCCAATAACTGCAATTTTGTTTATTTACATGCCCGTTTAAATGGAAGTGAGCCTCGTCCGAGAACAACACATTATTGAGCGAAGAAAATCGATTCAACATTTCATTCGCAAAGTTTAGTCTCTGAATAGCGTCATTATCTTTTAATTCCTGCACTAACTGAATTTTGTAAGCGTGCAGACGTAAATCTTTCCCTAAAATCAGCTGTAAAGATGTTCTGGGTACGTTTAGTGCACTGGAACGCTTACGAGTAGACTGGGTAGGATTTTGACGAACAGACTGTGCCACAATGTAGATGTTTTCTTCAATACGAGTTGTCCTTGGTCGACCCCACCGCTGTTTATCTAACGTCGAACCAGTCTCTTCGAACTTAGCAACCCAGTTCTTAATCGTTTGAGCTGTTGGACACTTTGTAAAATTGTGTAATGGTTGCCGAATCATTATTATGATAAAACGCGCGCACACAAAAAGCAGGATCAGCTCCAGTGAAACACTCCATGGCGACTGAATTCCCAGACACTGAAGATACTGCCCCCTCCTCGCCCGCGCCGCTCACGCTCACCCGTTAAATTTTATTCAAATTTGAAATTTCAAAGGACTTATGGACCACCCTGTATAAAATAGAGAACACGTATACAATAAATTAAAGTCAAAATCGCTGAATATAACATTTACACAAGTTACGTAAAAGGTATACGAGGAGGTACCCAAAAAATAACAAAATAGTATTGCAGTGGGCGGAGCTTGTATAGTACACATTTCTGCCCCTAGAGGCGTACAGCGCAACTCATTACCTGTTCAGTGCCACCTGCGTTGTCGATCTGGCTTGTTTCGTTCTTCTTTAGTCATTATTTTTGCTTTAGTGAGCAACGTGCAGCTGTGAAATTTTGCTTTCTAATTGGTAAAAATGCTGCCGAAACTGTTTTAATGTTGAAAATAGCTTACAAAGATGATGCTATGAGAAAAACTCAGGTGTACGAGTGGTTTGCTCGATTTAAAAATGGCGACATGTCGATTGATGGCAAACCGCGCTATGGACGTCCATCAGCGGCCCGAATCGACAAACCTGTTGAAAAAATTCGAGAGCTTATGCTATTTGGAGGTTTTAAGACGATTGCGAAACAGTGTTCGGGAAAAAAAACCTGATTTGTGGCAGTCAGGAGACTTCAAAAAATGTCTCGAGCAGTGGAAGCACCGGTAGGACAAGTGTATCAGTTGTAGTGGACAGTATTTTGAAGGAGATAAGGTTTTGAAAATAAATAGCTTTTAAAAAATAATTCCGTTTTTTTTGTAAACATAAAATTAAAATGTTGAGTAAATAATGAATAAAGGAACACATCTTACAAAGTGAGAAAACTCTAGATGCACTACTTGGCCGCAAATGCAATACTTGTTAAGCAGATATTGTATCCATTAAATACTACACACACACACACACACACAGCAAATATCACTGATTTTATACACATGCGGACCGATGCACATAATCATCCAGATGTGGTCTTGTTATTCAACCAACTTTCTTCTCAGAGATGAAAACTATAGACTACTTGGTTTCACAAAACATATGCAACCAACAATACGTGTTGTTGAGTCATTCCTCCATAGATGGACGCTCACAACGATTCTAGTGAGCAAACGTGGAATGACTGCACCCTAAAAACTACCTAGTCAGCAAAATGACATTTTATAGGTTTTCTTAGATGTTTTAGGCTTTTTACAAAATACCCGAGCGGATTGAAATAAAAACTGAATGTTCAAAAATCGACTTTTAAATATTCACGTTCAATTAGGAAACATCCTGTATACACGTAAGTGACATGATATTCTAGGACACCATATTTATGGTAGTTTGATAAAGACAAATTTTGATTCGCCGGTCCATAGAATTTTTCTTAAATAATTGCTATCTTCAACATCAGCGTTTAAAATAAAACGACCAAATTGTATACGCCTCATGGGATCTCCTTCCTCTATGACAGCGCGAGTAGAGAGAGTAGGGTCTCTTTGGAAAATATTTAATATTTCTTCTTCTTCTTCCACATCATGTCGAGGTCTACCTGCATCACATGAAATAAAATGAAAAAACAAATAACAACATTTTTTTGGAGGAAATTGTTACCTAATAAACATAGCGGTAAGACTATGAGCTAGAGTTGGCAAAATATCATTTAGAAAAAACGATACACAACGTGTGGATGTTTCCATCTTCAGAGCCGTGTAGATGCTCGTGTTAAAATTAAATAAATAAACTCTTAATTAAGAAGTTCAATCAACTGTATCAAAACATCTATGTTACAGTATCATCAGTTCAGCCCACAGACCTCCAAGGCTCTACATAGGCCTTACTCAATGACTGATTATGATAAGTTAATAATTATCAATGATGCAAACTTACCTTGATATCTTACGATGGTACCGCGCTGTCGAACCCGATGGAACGTTTGCCTAAATACGCGGGCGTCAGGTAGGCGACGATTTGGAAACATTTCCCCATACTCACGACGAGCTTTTTCAGCATTGCCTCTGGCATCTCCGTAGTAGAAAAGGATATTGACGTATTTTTCGAAACTGAACGGCCGCCTCCTTTGTTCATCAGTCATTGTTCATCGATAGGTAGATCAACGAACAATCAAGTACACAGCAGCCAAGTCGTAAGGAATCACAGAAAACAGGGTACAGTCTAGGTCGTCAGGAAAAGAATCACACACGGAAGTCGTTAGAAATATCAAAACAGCGAGCAAACAAGCACATCCGAACGCAACAAATCGTAAGAGCAGATTGAAGTGAGGGAGG